GCTGGCCAGGGCCAAGCAGCAGGGGTGCCCGGCGGCTCCATACAATTCCCCATCTCCAATCCTACACACAGGAAAAAAATAAAATCCAATATCTTTTCAGCTGGAGCCATCAAAAGGCCCTTTTCATTGGTAGGTATCTTGCAGTTGCTGATTTCTCAGAGGCCTCTCTGCTGCTGGCTGGTTGTCCATAAGACCTATTTGTTGTGCCCTAGCTCTTCTGGGTTGAGCAGGGGACAGGCAAGCAAGAAGGCCTTCATGCACACCTTTTTCTACCAACTCTACTGCTTATCCTTATACTAATGGCTCTAAATTAAAACTACACATTCAAATAATTCTGAGGCATTTTTCCAAATAGTTCATACACAGCTCTGGGCAAGCAGAGCTAGAGGTTTGGGGGTTTTTTTTAAGTGCATATTATTTTGCTTTTAGAGAAGAGATGAGAAAGTTAAAAAAAAAAGAAGAATAAAATTTTGTCTTGAAGGGCCTTAGGCAGGAAAAATAAATAAAAGGTTAGAAAACAAACTGACATCCACTACCTTGTTCATTTTTGCATTAGGGTCTGGCAAATAACCCCACGTTTCTTGGTTCTTGGAAAAATAAGCCCATCTATGACAAATGGCAGTGGTCAGGTGATTTTCAGTTTTGCATTGATGTCACAGGACTAGTTTGACATGGCAAATTGGGTTCTGAACTTGGAAAACACAAAGCCCTGAATTTAAATACTGTTACATTTACTAATGGTCTGACAATAGGCAAGTCACTTAACCTGGCAAAGTCTCAGTTTCCTAATCTGTAAAATGTAAAATAATTTGTCACAGGGTTGATGTGGGGCAAAAATGAATTAATAGGATAGGGACTGCTACACCTGTGATTTCACTGGTATAGAGAACTCCCAGTGGTGAAACTCCCTCTACCAATGCAGGTCAGTATCTTCTCTGCAACAGATGGTCTTAGAGGGTTCCCTAGATAAATCATGTCAATGGAGTATAATGTACCAGGAACTGTGCTAAGCAATGGTGATTCATATAAGGGCAAACAAGATAGGCTGGAAAACTGAGGTTAAATGACTTCCCCGGGGTCTCACCAAAGGTATATGTCAGAGACAAGATTTGAACCCAAGTCTTCTTGAGAAGACCTACTCTCTAGCCACTACACTATGGGATGTAAGGTGCTTACAACTGACGCCACAACTTTAGGTTGGTGTCTTGTCTGAACTATTCCTTCACCTCTCATTCCACTGTCTGGAAGAAGTGAATCCAGACCATGCAACAAGTCCTTACCAATTATTATTTCCCAAAGACACTGAACTGCCCATTGGTGTAACCAGCTTCCTAGAGAAGCAAACCAATAGGGCAGGACCAGGCAAAAAGCACTGGGCCAGGATCCGAGCCTGAATACTAGTTCTGTCTGCCACTGGCTGTTTAACTTTAGGCAAGATACCTCCACCTGTGGACCTCAGTGTGCTCATCTGCAAAATGGGGATAATAATGATTCCTTTAAATGCCTGTAAACATCAAACAACATGTGAAAGTCATATAAATGTATATATATATATATATATGTGTGTGTGTGTGTGTGTGTATGTGTGTATACACACACACACAGATATATTAGAAAGAGAGAGAGAACTTTTATAAATAACCATCTGGGTGTGAACATTGAGGTAAACATGAGATAAACATAAACGTTTATAGAAAAGGTACAGAGCAGATGAGTTAACATCAAACTTGGAATCCTTGTCCTATACAGAACACTGAAAAGAGAGTTAGAAGTCAGTTTCCTCACTTGCTTGAAAAAAAAAAAGAGGGGGTTGCAGTTGATAACCTCTGCTGTCCCTTCCTCCATGAAAGTTCTATGATTTGGAAACCAGCTCCTACCGGTGATCTTGGAGATGGCCAGTTTGAGCAGTTCTGACAAAAAGCCTTTGGAGGTGGTCGGATAGCTCTCCTTCCCAGATCCCTACTCCTGAAAATTCCCGAAGATAGCTAGCAGCTAAGCAGTGTATTTCTCCCCTATCAGTTCTTTCTCTCTATATTTGAGAATGGGAAGTAGAGAAGCTGCTTAACCCTGTTTTCACTGAGCAAAGTATTTCTTTCCATATACATGGCGTTAGCATCCTTTAAAGGCTGCTACCTTGTTCCTAAAGTCTCCTTACTCCTTTAACAGAGGGAAGGACAAAGCCCACGGCGGGGGGGGGGGGGAGCGGGGAGTAACTACTGGGATATTAACTTTGCCTTTGTGGGATTTTTGTGACTTTCGGAAAGAATTCCAATCCTTTTCCCTGGTCAAGAGGGATCCTAAAATGTGAGAGACCTTGGCCACTTCTCTAAGATGCCCTGAGGGCTTTATCTGGCCTGTTGACTTTAGCCCCTAGGAGTTCAGAAATTGCCTGGTTTAGGCTAGCTTTAGCCCTCGAGTGAGTGTGTGTATGGGGGGGAGGGGTGCAGAATAAGCTGGGGGGGGGGTCCTGCGATTGTCTTTGGCCACTGAGAAAAAGTGACAGTGACCCAGGATCGAGCCAGGTGTGAATGGGGCAGGGAAACTCGATCCTTGCCTTTGAACAAAAAGAACTTAATTCATGTCGATATATGACCACCGAGATCACTCTGAGAGTTGGTGGTCCCCGGACTAGCTCCCAGCTTCATCTTGCACTAGCAGGGACAGAGGAAGAAGCAGTAATAGATACATTCCTCCTTTTAAAATACTATAAACAATGACGATTTAGAGACTTAAGAGTAAACCTAGCAAAAATCAACTCTGAGATAAGAACGGACATAGTGGGTGTGGTCAGTGTGGTCACTCCTCAGTCCAGTCCCATTTTCCCCAGTTATTTTTTAGAGAACAGTTTCCCTTTATAACCCTGCCTCCCCCCCCCCACTTTCCCCCTCTTTGGAGAAGTAGGAGGTGTTGTCCCTGAAATGTTTTCGGCTGTTCAGGCCCAAAAATCCCAATACTGCGAGCCCCACCCCCATCCCTTTAGCTTTCCTCTTTGAAATATCAAAGGAAACCCATCCCCCCAGGCCCGAGCCCAGGACTGGTAAGTATCCAGCCTGGAGAGGAACTCACAGGGGTTTATGGCCGGGGCTATAAAAAGCAAATCCCACCTCCCCTTGAAAGCGCACTCCGCCCCCCATACCCACCATAAAACCGAAGGAGGGGGGCTGAGGAAGAGAGATGCAACACCTTCCAGCCCCGCTCCCCTCCCCCTTTAGGGCTCTGACCCTTGGGGGCAGCGGTGGCCATCCTAGGGGGTCCGGAAAGTGGGGGGAAGGGGATAGAGAAAGGGAGAGGGATGGGGGATGGGCGTTCAGAGACAGTAGCCAGGAACTGAGGTAGAGACACCGAGACAGAAGGAGGGAGGGCCAAAGAGCCCGAGACAGATGGACAGAGGCACATGCAGGAGATGCGCTGAGAGGCCAAGCCATTCAAAGAGCGGGCCGAGACTCTGGGCCAGACAGAGTGCCGCGGCCCGCCGGCCTGCGCCCAGCAGGGGGCTCGGCTTCCCTGCGGCGCGGAGCCGAGAGGCTGGGAGCGGCTAGGAGCCGGGCGGCCCGCGGGAGTCCCGGGCGGCTCAGCGCCCTAATCCCCGTAGCAGTGCCGGCTTTCTCATGCAAAGCAGCGGCGGGGGCGGGGCGGGGCGGGCGGCCGGGGGGCGGGCTCTGCCACCACTTGGCCCTTTTCTTCCCCCCCCTTTCCCTGTTTGAGCGTCTCCTTATTCCGGGACGCAACCCCCCAAACAGCTGCTCCCAGCCCTGGCCAGAGGAGGAGGAGGAGGAGGAGAAGCAGCAGCAGTAGCAGCCTCAGCCACAGCGGAGAGGAGAGAAGAGGCTAACGTGGGGCGCAGACGGTGCACAGCCGGGCCACGAAGGACAGCGGGGTCACCCGGAGCCCGGGACAGCTCTCCCTCGGCCTCTGCCCCAGGCCAACAGGGGAATCTACGCGGCCCCTACCCCTCCCTGCACCTGGGCGTGCGCGCTGCCCAGAGACAAGGACGGACAGATTACCAGACGGCGGGCCAGGAAAGTTTGCTGCGCCTGTGAGTTGGTGGCGGCGCTGCCGGATCTAGCCGGGCTTTCTCCTCTTCGCCGAGCCGCATTGTTTGCAAACTTTGTTTTCGCTTGCCAGTTGGCGTGCTTGGCGCCCCCCCCCTCCTTCTCCCCCCCTCCCCCAGCCCGGGCAAACTCAGAGTACTCTTCGGGCAGACGCGGCAGAGGCAACTCTGATCCGCGCTCGGGGCTCTGCTCCGCGCGGCGCGGCGCTGCGGGCGGACAGCTCGCTTGCCCTGCCCCAGGCGGGCATGGGCTGCGGCCGGGGCTGGGTCAGGAGCCGAGGGGTGCAGCGGGCATCTGCTGCAGCCCGGCTCCGGGCGGTCAGGCTCTGATGCGGCGCGGCAAGCGGACTGCCTGAGTCTGCCCGGACGGGGCTCCGCGGTCGGCCGTGTAGCCTTGTTGGACCGGCGGGCTCCAGTGCCGCTGCCTCTGCCGCTGTTCCTCTCCCTGCTCCCCGCCCGGGACCCGACGCCGCCATGAGCCGCCTGGGTTCCCGCCTCTGGCTTGTGCTGCAGGTGGTGGGGGCGTGCGCGGCCATCAGCTCCATGGACATCGACCGGCCAGGCGAGGGCAAGTGCCAGCCCATCGAGATTCCCATGTGCAAAGACATCGGCTACAACATGACCCGCATGCCCAACCTCATGGGCCACGAGAACCAGCGTGAGGCGGCCATCCAGCTACACGAGTTCGCCCCGTTGGTGGAGTACGGCTGCCACGGCCACCTCCGCTTCTTCCTGTGCTCCCTCTATGCGCCCATGTGCACCGAGCAAGTCTCCACCCCCATCCCCGCCTGCCGGGTCATGTGCGAGCAGGCCCGGCTCAAGTGCTCCCCCATTATGGAGCAGTTCAACTTCAAGTGGCCTGACTCGTTGGACTGCAGCAAACTACCCAACAAGAATGATCCCAATTATCTCTGCATGGAGGCCCCCAACAACGGCTCCGACGAGCCAGCCCGAGGATCCAGCATGTTCCCACCTCTCTTCCGGCCCCAGCGGCCCCCCAGCCCCCCGGAGCAGCAGCAGCCTAAGGACAGCCTGGGCCGCTCCGGCTGCAGCAACCCGGGCAAGTTCCACCACGTGGAGAAGAGCTCATCCTGCGCGCCCCTCTGCACGCCTGGAGTGGACGTGTACTGGAGCCGGGCAGACAAGCAGTTCGCCGTGGTGTGGTTGGCCATCTGGGCAGTGCTCTGCTTTTTCTCCAGCGCCTTCACGGTGCTCACCTTCCTCGTCGACCCTCCCCGATTCAGGTACCCAGAGCGCCCCATCATCTTCCTCTCTATGTGCTACTGCGTCTACTCCGTGGGCTACCTCATCCGCCTCTTTGCCGGGGCGGAGAACATCGCCTGCGACAGGGACAGCGGCCAGCTCTACGTCATCCAGGAAGGGTTGGAGAGCACCGGCTGCACCATCGTCTTCTTGGTCCTCTACTACTTTGGCATGGCCAGCTCACTCTGGTGGGTCATCCTCACTCTTACCTGGTTCCTGGCCGCAGGGAAGAAATGGGGCCACGAGGCCATCGAGGCCAATAGCAGCTACTTCCACCTTGCTGCCTGGGCCATCCCTGCGGTCAAGACCATCATGATCCTGGTGATGCGGAGGGTGGCCGGAGACGAGCTGACAGGAGTGTGCTATGTGGGCAGCATGGACGTGAATGCGCTCACCGGCTTTGTCCTGGTCCCCTTGGCCTGCTACCTCATCATCGGCACCTCCTTCATCCTCTCGGGCTTCGTGGCCCTTTTTCACATCCGGAGAGTGATGAAAACAGGAGGTGAGAACACAGACAAGCTGGAGAAGCTCATGGTCCGCATCGGGGTCTTCTCCGTGCTGTACACGGTGCCGGCCACCTGCGTGATCGCCTGCTATTTCTACGAGCGCCTCAACATGGATTACTGGAAGGTGCTCGCAGCCCAACACAAATGCAGAGTGAACAACCAGACTAAAGCTCCGGACTGCCTGATGAGCAGCTCTATCCCCGCGGTGGAGATCTTCATGGTCAAAATGTTCATGCTGCTGGTGGTAGGCATCACCAGCGGAGTGTGGATCTGGACTTCCAAGACCCTGCAGTCTTGGCAGAATGTGTGCAGCCGGAGCCTGAAGAAGAGGAGCCGAAGGAAACCTACTACAGTGATCACGGCCGGCGGCATCTACAAGAAAGCCCAGCACCCCCAGAAAGGTCATCATGGGAAGTACGAAGCGGCCGCGCAACCACCCACCTGCGTGTGAAAGGGGAGCGGGAGGGCGGGGTGGCGGAGACTGAGGGTACCAAACGGCTAAAGAAAACTGTTTTCCCCTAAAAAAAGACTTGTACAGGACTCCAGGGAAAGGGCGAGGGAACTAAGCCCTGGTGCTTTTCTCAGACGATAATGGGGTGGAGGGGGGAGCGGGGGAGAGACTTGTAAGTTTTAAGAAAAAATGATTACCCTGAAATTCAGGATATTGCCGTACACTTCAAGTTAAATGTACTTAAGAATTATGGGAAACAAATATTGTCAGTTAAATGGCCTCTTCAGTTACCAATTTGAAGTAACTTGTGGGGGGAATATGTGTGTTATATATACATATTATATGGGTATATACAGCTATACATATGTATAATATGTATATATAATGCACATCTGCATTAAACCCGAATGGGCTTTCCTTATACCGTAGCCAATAGCAAAGGAAGAGAAAACTTCTGTGAATAGCAAAGAAATCTATCCCAAATCTCTCCCTATGCCTCCCCCAACTCCCCCAACTTCTTTTCTCGGTAAGCAAGTCACCATTCCAGAGGCCCTCCCTCAGGTCATGGCCCTCACCACTTGAGAAAGCAACTTCTGAAGCAACCTAAGCAAAGAAATTCCCTTTTTAACAACTCTCCACAAACTAGAAAGAACTAAAAAATCGATAGGGTCCACAGCCTCCGCAAAACTTTTTCCCTAAAACTGAAACTTGCTCTACTAAGAAAAACCCCAAACAAAACCGCAAACTTCTGGGCAGCATACACACGCAAACTATGTGCAATACATTTTTTTTCTCCCACCATGAAATAAGAAAAAAGAAACAAGTATTTTGCTGTACATAAAGACCACAAAAGAAACCTCTTAACAAAAGAACTGAGAAGTCTGGCCCTCCGAAACCCTTTAGCGTTACATTTTGTGGCTTTTTAATGGAAATCAAGCCAATGTTATACAAGTTTGGACTGATTTGTGGAAAAAAAGAGAGAGGAGAGAGAGGGATCATTCTAAGGTACCCAAAGGGCTTATTGACTCTTTCATTGTTAAACAAATTCTTGCCATGAATAGATACCGAAGCACTAGTGGTGCAAAGGGAAAATTTTGTATATTGTGATGCTCTTAGCTGTGCTGAAAAAGCCCAGTTTCTTAGTTGTATATATTTGTAACATATGATTATTTTTCATGCTCCACTATTTTATTAAAAAAAAATAAAATATGTTCTTTAGTTTGCCGATACTCCCTTGTGATAGCCACTTTCCCTTTCCCAGGCTGGAGTGGAGGGGCTCAAAAGCAACTTTGTTCTTGGCCATCGACTTTGCAGGCACAGGGGAGGCTGTTCCCCTGTTTATAGACATGGGCTGATGGCCCTTTCCAGCTAAGGAGAGATGTGGATTACAAGGGCAGTGGGATAATGGAACTTGCAGGTTACATAAGAGTGACGACATGCAGCCAACACAGAGAGTTAGGGGATTGTTCCTGGGGAATCTTGGCAGCTGAACACCAGAGGTCGGTTGTAGGGACAATCCGTGCAAAGGGAGCCTTGTTTACTGAGCATACACTGTGGGCGTAATCTTACTTTAGCATCCTTTTTCATGCCTTCAGAGAATGAGGAGTGGGGGAGATGGGAACTCATAGGGCAGTTTCTTATAATGTCCCTGGTGTCCTTTGGAGAAAGGGGCAAACCTGGAGTTCCATGCCCCTCCACGCCAGCCAGGCTGATAGAATAGAAGGGTCAGCGGTGGCCTATTTACCAAAGGGTACAGCTATACAGTTGGAGAAGGGAGGGGAAACTGCTGCCCAAACTGTTGGCTCATCCAAGAGGAGGGAACCAGGAGAGAGACTGGGAGAGAGGTTTTATTCTTGGCTGATCAGAAGTGATGAAGCAGCAACCCAAGCCTTTGGTGTTGGCTGAGTCAAAGGCACCATTCAATCTTTTTTTTTCCTTTTTTCCATCAATTAAGGGGACTTAGATATGAAACCAGAGATTTCTCTAGGCTGGGCACCTCAAAAAAAAATCACTCTCTGACTGCCCTAAGGACTTGCTAGGTAGGCAAACATTTGCCCAGTGCTTAAGTGTGAAAGCTAAGGCATGGCCAAAGGGGACTTTGGGAGAATGGGGCCTGCCTGATTCAGCTGGGACCCACTTGTTCTTGGATAACCTGTTTGTTCAGTAAACAGGAGTGTCGTTTCGAAAGCATCTTGTCTAAGGTCTGCTTTAAAACAGATTTTGCTGGCTCAATGAGGCCAACTAGGAAGAAGCCTGTAGGATCCTGTGGTTTGGGCTTGATTTCTGCTTGTGGAAAGTTAGTGGCTAATTAAACGATTGGCTAAGGAGGTTGAAAATGGATTAAGGAATAAATGTAACTAGGGGGTAGGGAAGACAAAGTTTTTGTTGTATTTTTAGACTTAAAACCTCAAAATCTACTTTTCTCCAAAAAGTGGATTTCCTAAGAAGCCAACTTTTGGAAAATCTAGAATCATAGGATTATAACTGAGACCCAAAAGGGAGGCAGTTGAATAAAGTGAAAACAGCACCTGAGTGACTCTGAAATCCAAGGACCAGGGTTCAAATCCTGCCTCTGACACCTGTGTGACTTTAGGCAAGTCACTTTGACCTCACAAAAGGCTTGACATTTCTCATTCATAAAATGGGGAGGTCAAACTAGTTGGCCTATAAGGCCCCTTTCAACCCTAGCTTTGTAGTTCAGTCCAAACCTTTCATTTTACAAATGAGGAAACTGAGGTCTAAAGACATTACGTGACTCGTCCAAGGTTACGAAGGATAGCAAAACTGACATTAGCGCTCCGGTGCTCTGACTCGGAATTCATCGTCATTCCCACTGTACCTTCTCCAGAGGGCAATACTAGAAGACCCTATGCTTCTGGGGCCCAAGTGGGACAGGGGCCAGGCATTCAGTTCTAACCTCACCACTTCATCAGGACCTTCAGATGCTTGTAGCTTCAGAAATGGCATTAATGCCATGAATAATAACAGGAACTCTTCATTTCTCTAGCCTTTTGGAAGTTTTCCAGAGCGTCTTCCTTAGCACAATTATGTGAGGTAGGTTGAAAAAACTTTTGCTCCCCATTTTGCAACAACTGTTTATTATGTACCTACTATGTGCCTGGCACTGTACCAAATGTTGGGGATAGGGAGAAAGGCAAAAAAAATCCCCTTCCCTCAAGTATCTTAATCTTCTAAGGCAGGAGACAACAAGCAAACAACTACGAATAGATTTCAGATATAGATACAGAAATATGTATACATATGCACATGTGTAGACCTGTACACAGATCTATATACATATGGTATCTGTATCTATCTAAATATAAATATACATGTGTATACATGTATGTGTATAGACATGTATGTAGATACATAGATATATCTATATCTAGATACACTTGTATGTACATACATGTATACATATATACACATAGTTAAGTTGGAGATCATTTCAGAGGGAAGGCGCTAAGCAATGAGTGGGATCAGAAAAGGGTTTTGGTTTTTGTTTTTGCGGAAGGTGGAATTTTAGCTAAGACCTCAGAGAAGCCAAAAGGCAGAGATCAGGGAGATAGAGCATCCCAGCAGACCTGGGAGACAGCCAATAAAAATGCACAGAGGCGAGGAAGCAAGCTCAGAGAAAGCTCCCCTTGAGCTTTCCCTCAGAGAGAGATCCCTGTGAAAGGCCCTGGTCACCCAGCGAATAAGTATGCGTGGTAGGATTTGAATCCAGCTCTTCTGACCCTAAGACCACTACAGCAAGAATGTGAATAATAGAAATGGATCTGAAATGTCCTCTAATTTTTATCTGAATGTGTAGCTCTGTGGATCACAGGATTTTCTCAGTACCCACAGGCAGTTCTTCCAAGATTCTAAATTGGTGAAGAGGTGTTCATTTTCACTGGTAGAGGGAGTTTACTCACAGGGCTCTCTCTACACCAATAAAATAATGTCCAATTTAAAAAAAAAAAAGAGAGATTAAAAATATATGGGCAGATATAGCTAATAATGGGTAACGTTTCTATAATATCCACTAGGTGCCAGACATTTATAGATATTATCTCAATTGACCTTCACCTACAACTTTAAGAAGTAGGTGCTACTATCATCTCTACTTTACAGATGAGGAAAGTGCAATTAAGTGACTTGGCCAGGGTCATACAGCTATTGAGGGTCTGAGGCCAGATTTGAACCCTGGTCTTCCTGACTCCAAGTTTAGGGTTCACTGTGCCACCTAGCTGCCTAATCTCATATAGATCTATATGAGCTAATCTCATACTGGTATATGATATCAACCCACAGGCTGATCTTTTACGAAACCTGCTGAAGGAGCAGTCAAGTTATTTAATATTCATCATCATGGCACCTTGTCTTACAGTTTACAAAGTTCTCCCTCATATTCACTGGGCATCCCTAGTTTCTAAGTGTCAGTGCTTCCTAGGAACCCAAGTTTTTTCAGTATCTGTTCATCTACCAGTAGGTCAGTAGGGTTCAGATTCACTTGAATTCTCTTAAAAGTCCTCTTTGGAGAATGTTAAGCCAACAGCGTTTGCCTAGAGGGACAAGAGCTAGCTGACCAGCAGCCAAAGACCATTTTTTACTATTTGTACAAATGAAAGAAATGAATGGAAAAGTATTTATTAAGTGCTTACTGTGTACAAAGCCCAGGAGACCTCAATAGAAAGGCTCTCCAGGGCTTGATCTCAAGAATTCACATTCGAATAGGGAGAAACAGCTACTATTTTTTTTTAATTTGGGGGGCAATGGGGTTAAGTGACTTGCACAGGGTCACACAGCTAGCTAGTAAGTATCTGAGGTCACATTTGAACTCAGGTCCTCCTGACTCCAGGGACTGTGCCAATTAACTGCCCCAACACAGCTACTCTTAATGGGAAAGGTCTGGTGGCTCCCAGGACCCAGGGACAAGGCAGATGCTGATGTGCCATCTTTAATGGCATTTTCAGGAATAAAACCACATCCATTCCTGATATTGAACTTTTTACCATGTCAAGGACTTCGGTGGCAAGAAGTTTCTTTTTCGGGTGGTCAATAGTGGCAGCACCTTGAAGAGGCTGCATCCCCAAAGGCATCGCTCCTTTGGAACAATTGCTTGCTGGTCTGTTTGCCAAAGAGGACCGATGGTGTCATGGGAGCGATGTCTTGACTTGAGAGTGAGTTGGATTTGAGTGAAGTCGAGCTGTGCAGAGTTGTCAGCCTCACTCTCCCCTCCAGGGTCACCAGAGGCCAGTGGCTGGGTAAGTCAATGCTGTGGGCCGGAAGCAGGGCAGGGCACCAGGGAGAGTACTGTGCCATAGGCCTCTTGGGCTTACCTGCCAATGACCAAGAATATCGCTTAATTCCTCCTGCTCTTATTTCCTTGGTCATAAAATAAAGGGGTTAGACTAGAGGACCTTTAAGATTCCACCTTTAAAATCTATGATCTCATGAAAGTTACCTCAGTTTACCCAAAGTTTGAAGTAAGACTTTCCAAGGAATAGCAAATCACCTTGTCACCTGACTAGGACCAAGGCTTCTAGCCCCTGTGGCTCAGAACAGGGAAAGCAGACAGGGGAGTTGGAAGAATTTGGAGCTTTGAAAATCAAGAGACACAGGTTTTAGTGGCTGCCCTGATTCTGTCTTCCACAGTCATCGTGTGTGACCTTAGGCAAGTCACTTCTGTTTTGGGGCCTCTATTTCACAATAGGATCACTAAACCCTACCTTATGATCAGAAAGCTGATCAAAGAGAAAAAGAACACTGATCTTTGAAGTTAGAAGACCTGGGTTTGAGTGAGCAATTAAACCTTTAGGAACTTCAGTTTCCCAGTCTTTAAAATGGGAATAACAACACTTCCACTGCCCAACCTCTCAGGACTATTGTTAGTAAAGGTCTCAAAGACCTACACAAGTATGCATATGCATGTATGTGCATATATGTGGGAGCATATATGTATATACCCACATATACCTTTATATACATATATATCTTTATATGTATGTGTCTATACATATATATATATATCTTTGTACGTCCTTATATACAAAAGTATGTATACCTTTGTATGCCTATATATCTTTATATATCTGTGTTTATATCTTTATATACCATATATCTTTATATATGTTTATATATATCTTTTTATGTATATACATATCTTTACATATCTATATCTATATCTATCTATATCTATATATCTATGAAGACAGTTAGGTGGCTCAATGGATAGAGGGGT